AGTAGTATTAGCAGTAGTAGTAGGAGTAGTCGTAGTAGTAGTAGTAGTAAGTGTCGTATGTAGTTATTAGTATAGTAGTAGTAGTAGTAGTAGTATAGTAGTAAGAGTAGTTAGTGTTCAGTAGGGTATGAGTAGTAGTAGTAGTAGTAGTAGTAGTAGTATAGTAGTAGTAGAGTAGTAAGTAGAGTAGTAGTAGAATCGTAGTAGGTAGTAGTAGTAGTAGTAGAGTGTAGTTGTATAGTAGCAGTAGTACTCAGTAGTAGTAGTAGCGTAGTAGTAGTAGTAGTAGTTAGTAGTAGTAGTAGTAGTAGTAGTAGTAGTCGTAGTAGTAGTCGTAGTAGTAGTAGTAGTAGTAGTAGTAGTAGTAGTAGTGGTAGTAGTAGTAGTAGTAATTGCAATACTACTCATAGTAATACGAGTACTACTAATACTATTAATATTAATGCCAATAGTAATAGTAGTAATCATACTAATCAGAATATTAATGCTAATAATGGCAGTAAAAAGAATAGTAATACAAATGCACACAATTATAAGAGGAGGAGGAGGAGGAGCAGGAGGCGGAGGAGGAGGACGAGGAGGAGGAGGAGGAGGAGGAGGAGGAGGAGGAGTTCTGCGGTGTGCCTGGCCGCGCCAGCGGCTTCGGCGGCGCAGGCGGACGCGTGGCGCGCCAAGCTGGCCGAGGAACTCGGTGAGTGGAGCTGGCCAGAGCGCTGCCTTGGCAGGGGTTACTGCATCGAGGTCGATTCCGCCTCTTCCTCGTCGTCGTCGTCGTCTTCCTCCTCCTCCTCCTCCTCCTCCTCCTCCTCCCCCCTCCTCCTTTCAGAGGAGGGCGGGTTGAGACAACGGAGACTGGCCTTCGGGGGGGCCCCTTGTCGCTAAGGTGGACGCAGCTCGGAGAACTGGTGCGTTTGGACCCGGAGAAGTGTGCGGAGATCAATTGTGAGCTGCCGTTCTTTCGACCTTCCCTGCTCCGATCATTCCCCATCTCTGAGTTTGTCTTGTATCGCATGCCGTTGCTGCTGGTCGTGTCTTCTCTTGTCTGTGTGTGTGTGTGTGTGTGTGTGTGTGTGTGTGTGCGTGCGTGCGTGCGTGCGTGCGTGCGTGCGTGCGCGCGTGTGCGCGTGTGTGCCTGTGGGTTCCCCTCGGATCGGCCTTGGCCGCTTGGCGCGTCTCCTTCTAGTTCTTTCTCTCGGCGGCGCGCCCAGGGGGAAGTGAGGGGGTGGGCTTTTCGAGGCTTTTTTTTTGTTTTTGTTTTTCTCTCTCCTTTCTTTTTTTGTTAACAAAAAAACCTTCCCCGAACACGTAGAAACTTCTCAGAAGGCCAGAGAGTCTCTGAGAAGCCCCGCCGCCTTTGAGAAGGCCTCTTCCTTCTCGCTTCCCCCCTTGCCCGCCGCCGATTCTGGCCCTTCTCCCCTCCTCGGGGTGCGGGGCGCTGCCCGCGCGCCCCGCGCGCTTGTGCGCTGGAGAGCGGATCGCCGGCCTCATGGCCACTTCGATGTGTCATCCTCGGCGGTGGCGGCAACGCTCCGTCTTGGACTGCCCCAGGCTGGCTGGCGCCAGGATCATGCCCTGGGAGCACTCGGAGGAGCCCCCCCCCCTCAGGGGCAACGATAGGGGTGGGGGGATGAGAAAAGGGGGAGATGCATCGACCCCCAGTCGTCCGTTCATCCCCGCTAGGGGCCCAATAGCCCCCTCCGTCCAGGAACGCAGGGCTCTGCTGTCGGGGGCCTATCGCCGATCAATCGTCGATGAATCGCCGACTGGAGGTGGATGTCCCCCCCTCCTGTGCCAGTCCCCCCCCCGATCGTTGCCCCTCCCCCCCCGTTTTGCTGGCCCCCGCCGCCCTCGCCCAGCAGGCCTCCCTTGGGTGCTCGGGTCGCGGAGGTCGCTGCGTGTCGTCCCTTGGGCCTCTTTCTTGCCCTCCCCGCTCTTGTGCCTGCTGCGCCCGTGGTCGGCGACGGCCTCCTCCCTGCCGTGCGTTGCGGCGCTGGCTTGGGGCACTCCCAGTCGATCCCAGGGCGACTCAAGTTCGCTTTAACGTTGATTCAAGTCGACGGACGCTCGGTGCAGCATCGACGCGTGGGAGGAGCGACTGGCTCCAGGAAGGTCCCCAGATCGAGCACCGAACGTGTCCACGGCCCTCGCGCCGATCCCCCCGCCCCACGGCGCGTCGAACGGGCGGTGCCCCCGCTGCCCGCTGGCCTCGTGGCTCTCCTTCTGACCCCCAAGCTGACGTCAGCCTCCCTGCCTGCATGCTCCCTCGTCCAAAAATCGCCCAGCTTGCCTTGCCCGCCCGCCGCCGTTGCGGTTCGGGAACCTCCGCCTCGTCTGTGCTGCCCTGTCGCCTCGTTACGTGCGCGCGCGTTTTTTGCGCCTTCGCCTGGCCCTTTCTGTGAGGCCTCTGTCTCTTCCCTGGTTGCTGCACGCCTTCTCCTGCTGTCTGCAGGTTGTGCTTCGGCCCCTCCTTGCAGAGGCCCGCTCCTCGAGTCCACGCGCAGCGTGGCTCCCTCAGGGTGAGCCTGCGCTTCCTCGCCAGGGCGGCTTAGGGGAGTGTGCGCGAGGTGCGTTCTGAGCTTGGGGCACTCGCCGGCCGTGCCGGACTCCGCCTTTTGCGCCGCGCGCGGGCGGCCGACGGATGCCAGGAAGTCGGCGAGGACGCTGGCCGTGCGCTCGGCGGGTCCCCGCAAGGCTCAGGGGGGCGTAGCTTCCGAGGGGTGGAACAAAAAGAAACTGGAGCTTCCGGCAGGGGAGGTCCAAGGGAAGGGGGGGATGGGGGGGTATGGCTAAGCCCCCCCTTTGAAAACAGGGGGGCGGCTTCCGGAGCGCGAAGGGGGGAGGGGGAGGTAGCTAAGGGGCGAGACAAAAGGAGGTGGGGGTGTGGGGGGAGGGGAGGTCCAAGGGCGGGGGGGAGGGGGACCCCCCCCCCTTTGGGAGTGTACCACGGGCGCGCTCGCTCCAAGGTGACGCTGCCCCGCTGAGGCTCCGTACCTGCCAGGACCTGGCGCTTCCAGGGGGTAGCCCAGAGGTGCCTGCCAGGCCGCTCCCCTGGGGCGCCCGAGGGTACCTGCCAGGACCTGGCGCTTCCCTGGGGTGGCCCGAAGGCACCTGCCAGGACGCTTCCCTGAGGCGCCCGAAGGTACTGATGGGCTTCGGTGGACGCCGGCGCTGGCGCACGTTCCGAGGGTCGTCGACTGTGGCGGGTGCGCCACTGCGGGTTTGCGCGAAGTGGGAGGCTCCGTTCGTTGCCGTGCCGCCGCGCGGCAGCCTGCGCGCGCGCTGGCGTTCGGCGCGTGCGCGCGGCGGGCGAGCCCTGCGCCGCCACTGCGTGTCGCGCAGAAGGCACCAGAGCCGGAGAGGAATAAGCCAGGCCTCGCAAACATCAGCGAGCGAAGAACGGTATAAAATAAACTTTTTCGCCGTCGGGGACACCTGCCCCTGGGCGGCTGGAAAGTTTAGGCACCCCTACCGCCCAGGGGCAGGTGTCCCCGACGGCGAAACAGTTTATTTCATACCGTTCTTCGCCCGTTAAAAACAGTGTCGAAGTAGGCGTCGGGGAACAAACCATGGCACGAACATGAACCTTCCAACGTCTGCGCGGTTTTCTCGGATCGGCGCTGGGGCACCCTGGCGGCGGCTCCCGGCGCCCAGCGCCGACCTCAGAAATTCGCGCGGACCTCCGAAAAATTATGCTTGCGTAGCACCCCGCAGATAAGAGTGAGGGGGCGGTGGGGACGGCAGTCTGCGAGACTCTGGAGAAGCCCGCCTCAGGCGCCAAAGTTTCACAATTTCTACGACGAGCCAGCCGCAGGCGCCGATCTTTTTCTTCGAACCAATGAACCAATGTGGATCGGTCGCGGGTGGGTCGCGGTTTGGTCGCGGGTGGGTCGCGGGTGGGTCGCGGGGTGGGTCGCGGGTGGGTTTTAAGTGGGTCGCGGGTTGGTCGCGGGTGGGTCGCGGGTGGGTCGCAGTGTGGGTCGCGGGTGGGTCGCGGGGTGGGTCGCGGGGTGGGTCGCGGAGTGGGTCGCGGGGTGGGTCGCGGGGTGGGTCGCAGGGTGGGTCGCGGGGTGGGTCGCAGGGTGGGTCGGGGGGTGGGTCGCGGGGTGGGTCGCGGGTGGGTCGCGGGGGCGACGACGACAACAAACAACAACAGCAACAACAACAACAATCATTTTAAGACTGTTCGCTCTTATCTGCTCTCGTGTTATTCAATATGCATCTCCCAAACCGTGGATACCCGCCCTCTTCGTCTTCGATCGTGCCCCGGGTATATTCATTCCTTGCCACGTGTGGTAGGTGAAGCCCTTGAAAACGAAAGGCAACAGATAACGGGGGATAATGAGGACGAAGGGGTCGGAGGAATGGAGGGGAGGGGCAAGAAGGAGGGAGGACGATGATTTGCGCTATGAGTGGCGATTCAGTTTGCGCCATGGCTCGCGCCAACCACTCCAACATAGGTGAACAATAAGGTTCGCCATGGGTCGCGCCACAATCAGCGCCACGTACCACCCCCTTCCAAGAACATATCGTGGATACCCCCACGGGGGGACGTACAGCTGCGAACTGGTATCAGAAACAAGTTTCGTGGAACCTTGAAAAGAAGCGGGATGTTGGGAGAGTGGGGCGGAAGGATCGTGAAAACTGCAACCGTGTCGAGAGGGGCGCGGGGATGTGGAGTGGATTGGGATGGAGTGGACAAGAGTGGGGTCTCAGGAGGAGGAGCGGCAAGGAGTGGAGAAGAGGAGCCGGGAGGAGTGCGGAGGAGCGGGGGGCACACGGGGGAATCTGGAGGAAGGATGGGAATAATTTGGGAGAAATGCGGAAAGCGACTGGTAGGGGTGGAGATTGTTGGGGTGGGATGGGGTGGTTTGGGGAGGAGTGGGCGGAACGCGAAGAACAGAGAAATCGCACAAAGGAGTACGAACGAAATGAAAATGCAGATGAAGGGAAGGAGTAGAGAAGACTGGTAAAAAACGTTGAAAAGTGGGGGCAGGTGGATGCGAGCGGAGACTGGTGCGGAAACAAGGCGCGGGGGGATTGGAAGGCACCCGAAAGCCTCCTATGACCTCTGGGGGGCCTCGGAATGGCCCCGAGGACCACCGAGCAGTTCCAGAGGCTCCGAAAACCTGCGGGGACGCCCCGGGGGCCTCGTCGAGGCCAGTGGAGCACGCGCGTCTCAAAGGCGGGCAAACCGGGCCCCGGCGAGCGGCGGACCGTCGGTCTGGCTAGTGGCAGCGCTGGCGATGCACGCGCCGACCCGCGGCAACCCGACCCCGCGGGGGCCGCGAAGGGCATGCATATATGGGGCCAGAAAGGGCGACAGCGGGGCCACTGAGCGCAGAAAGGCCACGAAGGGCAGCGAGGGGGCCGCGAAGGGCGACGGCGGGGCGACGAAGGGCTTGCATATGGGGCCACGAAGGGCGCGAGCGCGCGGGGGCCACGAAGGGCATTTGATCCGGGGCCGCAGAGGGCGGCGACGGGGCCGCTAAGGGCAGCGCCAGGGCCACGAAGGGCAGCGAGGGGTCCGCGAAGGGCGACGGCGGGGCTGCGAAGGGCATGCATATGGGGCCGCGACGGGCGCGAGCGAGCCAAAGGGCGACAGCGGGGCCACTGAGGGCAGCCAATGGGCCACGAAGGGCAACGAGAGGGCCACGAAGGGCGACGGCGGGGCTACGAAGGGCATGCGCACGGTTGCGAAGAAATGAAAAGCGAGAACGCGATTCTCCAATACATTGTGAGGA